AACTTCATGAGGTAGGAGGAACAATACACTTGATTTTGATCAACTTCATTCAAATCAAGTTTCACTTGATTTGAATGAAGTTGGTCAAAATTTTGATCAAAAAAAGTTGATCAAGTTGATCAAAAAAAANAAAAAAAACACATTATCAAGTTTCAAATCAAGTGAAACTTGATTTGAAACTTGATAATCCTTTCATTGATATTTCTATTAACAAATCTTGAAATCAATCTGATGACCATAAAATGGAACTCGAAATTAATATTTACAATATAAACTTCATGTGAACGTGAAGCGGCGTATCTAAACTATAATATATCCTGTCGCGTATCAAAACACTTCCTTATAACTACTTCGGCAACAGCCCATTAAGATTACACATCCGCCCATATTCGCTGTTATCTCTCTAGCAAACTGGCATGCCCTTTATGTGCATCCGTTCCTGCATCTCTCGAATTCTAACACAGCACAGATATCCAGTCAATATTCGAGTACCAATCTTTTGCTCTCCTGACACCAATTTATTTTTTGTTCTCATGCTAATCATTCATAATAAATATGGCAGATATGATGGTATTACAAATCGAAGTGTCATTCTCGCAAATTTGTACACATCTAAATAAGTAGTTCTCTTTAATGCATTTTTGCATCGCAAAGATACGGTTTTACTCATTCTTAGTTACTTTCATTACTATCATTATCGCACGGTGAATATCAATACTGAAATTAGCATCGTTATCATTACACTGGCATCGTAATTATCATAATCCTCATGCTATTGTTATTTCGATTAACGCTGCTATCATTATCATTACTACTATTACCATCATAAAACTTTTACCATTCTTATCATCATTCAATACACCCATCACTGCTGTCAGAATTGAATTAGCGCTGTTATTACTGCACTATTCGACTAGCACCGCTAAAATAATGACACTAAATTTAACACCCAAATAATTCTGATCTTTGATGTAACCAAAACGAACGAAAGTAGCGATAATCAGAGTAGGATATCACGCAGACCAAGCTTGGTCATAGACTTAGACTGAGGCACACATTGGAGTTGAGGCTATCTATTAAGAGAATAGATGGTTACCCGGTATAATCCTAATTTTCCTAATGTAATGAACCATAAATAAAGTAAAAACGTTCATAAAGTAATACACCGCGATATCTCTGTTCCGATTATCGCCACTCAATAGGGAATCGATTGAAGAGAGATGCAGTGACCTCAAATATATATTATATTTGAGCTAATCGCTCATTCTATTATTAACCATATATTAAAGAGAGCAGAGAGAATGTATAACGGACTCGAGTTAAGTGAGAACGAAGCGTAGAAAGGAAGCACAGTCGTCGTGTTAAAATTGGATATTGAATTTCGCAAAATCATGGCCATTAAATTAGTAAACAAAACAAATGAAAGAGATGCACGATCGTGTTTTTAACAATAAACAACTGTCCTTGTTGTTAATTAATGATGCGGGCAAATCATATCCACTTGATTTTCACTTCGACTATCATCTTTGCCGTAGCACAATCCTACTTCCCAAATTGTGAGCACCTCGTCGATAAAACGCATATGTTGAGGCGAAACAATCGAACATACATACACCATACATGTATACACACATCAGGAGTGTATGTTATGTACCGTTTCTTTGAGCACTTCACTTTCTACTCGTGAATCAACTCAGCGCAATAATAAAGAAACAATTCATTTGAAAACTCGTATTTTTATCACACATTAAATCATCTTATTAAAATCACATCACCGAAATAATTCGAGCTGAAAGCAACCAACAACTCGCAATCAAAATGCTTCAATAGAATTCGACAAATCAAAATGATTTTCATTGTCATTTAATTCAATTTTCAATCCGGAGCTAAACTTGTCACTTAATTCAAGGATTGAAAACTGACCGAAATGACAATGAAAACCTTTCTTACATTTGAATGATCAATCAAAGAGAATTGAAAAAAACAAATCAGCCAAACAGATCAATCAGACTTGAATAATTCACCGCAGATCACATCAAATTCTTATGAAATCTGTCCGCTGAATAGTTCTGACATAATTTATGATGGAGATGGAAATAATGATGGTAACGATGATACGTCAACGACAACAACAACAAAAACAATAATTAATAACAATAACATCACAAATAAAATCTGAAAAGATGAAAAGTAACATCACAAACCGGTTCACCGACCTTTTCCAAAGAATTTAAGCAACGAACGGCTTCAAAACCACTCACTGCATCCAACTCTCCAAAATATACACTAACATAAGCTTATAATCAATAACGAAAATCTGTACATTTGAATAAAGTTCAGAAATTATGCAAATAAAAACACTTCGTATTAAACACCAAATATAATTACTTAAAATTGCATTAANAATGAGAACAAAATATGAATAAAGCAAATGAATAGAATTTATTACTGAATAGAATTACAAATGAACAGCGACATTGAATTCGTTGAAATGAGCGAATAAGTGAGAAAAGCAATTGAATTTATGATGAGGTGAAAGTAGCGAATAATTTGCGAAGTGTAGTGCTCATGTTATTGTTATTGCTGATAACTTGCGGAGTTAGTAAAATTTAATAATGCTATTCCTTAGTTCTATCTTCTGTCACACTGCAATAAGAATTCAAACTGAATGAACTGAGTGAACAAATAGATAACATTCGTTTCCCGACGATGGCATGAAGTACCGGAATATTGCAAAGAACAGAAAGATAAAAAATGTGCAAATATAACGATCTCAACGAGAGTTTCTATTAAAAATGACAGCGAAAATCACAACCTCATAAAACTGCTTCGAGCAGCAAATTCGAAGTCCTAAAGCAGAAAGTCGGTGCTACTTTTCACTCATCTTAAATATAAATAACGACTAAGAATACGCACAAATCAAGAAATCAATCAAAATCACTAAAGTATTTTAAATTAAAAAAATAGAACCTCCATAAAATCTACCAACTTGAGTTCACTGATTGTGCATAATTGAGTGCAAAGAGTGCACCACATAGGCACCAATTTTGGAGGTCAACTAAATAGACTTTGGCAGTAGCAAAAAATGCAGATTACAACTTGAAATGGAGCAAAAATTGTTACCGGAATGATGGATGAAATGAGGCGTTAATCGGAAAAAAAANAAAAAAAATTTTTGTGCATAATTTGAATTGCCATTATGTTTGGATGAATCAACGCGATATTCCAACTGAATTAATGCGTGCACTCAACCGGTTCTGTGAAATAGAAATTTCGTGAAAACTAAAAATTGAATGCAATGACTTGATTTCATCATTTGAATCACAGTGAAAACCGCTCAAATTCTTTAAGCACAGCAAAAAATAGATTAAATTTCCACTGTGAATGGTAAAACAGAGCACCATTCGAATCGAAATACATAGATAAAACTGATTGGCTGAAATGAACGAAAAAAATACAAAATCACCTTGATACCTTCTTAAATTCTATCTGACATACAATTAGCAATTTTATTTTGGACCGGCAGGAATCCTCACTCACGAATCAAGAGAATCGAATTAATTTGGGAAGTAAAATGACGAAAGTGAGCAAATGCAAAACGTAAAAAATTCTTGCATAGAAAGGCACGAAACTTCTTCAAATGGTTCATCAGCATCACATGAAAGTTCTTCACTTCTACAGAACATTGACCACCATTTTTATGATTTCATCCACTCTATTTCCTAATGAAGACATCTGAATTTTTCCACACTACCTCAAACTTTGAAAACAAACGAAATAGTTTTGAATCTGAATGGTGAATGGCATGAAAATTCTACCAATTAGCCAGGAAACTCTACTCAATACATTTTCGTCAACATACAAATTGTTTCAGATCAAAGAACAAAGACAGTCAAAACAAACGTAAAAAATAGATTGCAAAAAAGTGGGAGGATGATTCGTTTGACAAAGGACGAATAAATGCTATCCACATTCAGCATAACGTCTACTGTATTATTTCTTTACTAATCGCATTCATTTCAAAAAAATTTTGTTGACACATTCCCAAAACATTACAAGCATCTCGTCCCAAACATAACAAGCGATACCACTAAGTTCAACGCGCTCCCTCCTTAATCTATTACTAACCCCGTTGATATTAATAAAAATATTTCTGGAATATTATTATTATTATTAAAATCAGTATTATTAACACTGCAACAGCTATTATAAATAACCAATCTCTTCAGTACGATATAAGACCAATTATTTAGTTTGATAATCACAACGTTCCACAAAGTAGATTTTTAAACTATCATTCACTTGCCACGTGCCGATCACGTTAATGTGCTATATCAAAGCACAACCATAGAAATAATCTGATTAATTTTGCATCCCATTAAGCAAAAGAATCAACATCTCGTCCGTACTGTTGCAATATCATTATTAAGTCATTCTTTGTAACGACAGTTTGATGAAAAAAATCACAATTTTTCACTCAACAATATAACTGACTAAACATGAACGCATCCTTGTCCAGGAATAAAACTGATAAAATCCAGAATTCACACTAATTATGATTTTAAAGTTTCCCTTTCCGAATGCGAAACCATTTTTGCGAAACCTAAAGCAAAAATTCTCCCACACAAAAGGCATATTTCAAATCATCATAATGAATGCTCAATAAAGAACCTCCTATTCACAGTTATGTCAGTGAGACGAGATGAATAAATTCGTAGCATAAGTTAAAAGATGTCAAAAAATTTGAGCGGCAATAAATCGAAATAATCGACTAAAGTTCAAACGAGAAATCTGCGAGAAAAGATGAAAGTAATTAAACAATTGTGCACCAAAAGATATTCAATTAACGGAAACTGCCTCGTGAAGGATGCTGTTCGCAGCAGATAAATTGAACATAATCACTGCATCAATGCGAATTGTTCTCATAAATGGAATGTGGTTGAGAAATCGATCGCAGCGAACCGTAACAAGTTCCTTTTTCATTTTTTAACACACTTGGATTAATCAAATAACTTCGTTAAACGACTTTTTGCTTCCTTCAAGCGTCCGCTTCCACTCTTTTCTGAGGTGATTGATTTCTGATCAGCCGATGGATGGAATGCACCCAAAACATGCACTTGTTTACCGCTTGTACGATTGAAACTCAGCAAACGATCACCGCACAGACGTTGCTCCAGATGTGTTATTGACTTGTCCTGAAGTGAACATTCTCCTCTCACCAACCATACATATTCCCATCAAGGCTCACATCGCGTAGCGATGTCAACAACGTCAAATGGTTCGACGTCAACAAAGTAATATCATCGTCAGCCGAGCATGCACCGATACATGCATTCATAATAACTATTGTAATGATATCTCCACGAAGCGTTAACTAACGATGAGCATCACTGATTCCTTTATAACGCCATACCAGTCAAACCGAGAAGATAAACGAACTCGAAGGAGATTTAACTTAAATCCGCGCACGTATTTTGGATCAAAATGGAGGATAATGTTTTCGCATTAAATTCAATTCAACGAAGCAGAAATGATCACAAACCGATGCGGTTCTCAAGTGATGACAGCAGAATACGCTGATCGATGGATACGGTAAGAAGCCAACCATCTTTGGTATCACCGAAAAGGATATCTGCCCGAGACCACTCTCTTTTACGAACAACACTGAAACAAAACAGTACCAGAGTATATGCACAATATCACGAAGGCATAAAACGTCATTAATCAAATTCAAACAATTAAAGAAAATTCAGTAACAAAACGTTGAATTAATTCAAAGTTGGGTGATAATAATTTTAAAAACAATAACATTTGAGCTTTCTCAGATAATTTCGCAAAGATGTTCGAGTTATCAACAAGACGCTGTATGTTCGGTAAATGACGAAATTTAACTTCTTAACCGATGAAATTTCAATCGACTCACATTTACGGCTTTCATTGATCACCCAAAATCGCTTATCAGCCTCCACCCCAATGATAACAGTTTCAACTTTATTTGTAAGACTTCTCAACGAAACAATCAAATCACACGCATTATCAACACGACATAATACCGCACCAGGCTGCGACGATAACAACTGTGCACACAGTTCATAACATGCCTGACAAACATTAGACTATCACATCAAATTCAAGTCACTTTCGTACAGCTCCAATTCTTTTTGTGAATCGAGAAAAAACTAGCAGCAGCGAAATTATCTGGTCTTCACGCATCGCGCAGAATAATCGATATGTTTCTCATGCAAAAAAANAAAAAAAGAATGCACTATTTACATCTCATTAGGGAATTGCGAGACTCCTTAAACAGATAGACACATTAACCAGAGAGAGTCAATACGAAGACGAATGTATGAATGTTTGAAATTGACACACTCGATAAAATTTTCATAAGAATTCGCTATGTTCGAATGGAGTGTTCTTGAAAATTAATCAATAGTTAAATGAGCACTATTCAAACACTATCTGTTAGAAGATAGAGCCTGTGAGCTGGTAGATATTGTCAAATCAACTTAAAAATCATAGCGTTAAAAATTTCAAACAACAATACCGACACTCGAATCGGATAGTAGGATCAAATCAAGACAAAAAATAAGCATTTAAATGAAAAATGAGGAAAATTTCTAAACAAGCAGTCCCTTTGGGACGTTCTATTGGCACTAAATGCTTAGTGTTCTCAATTCGATTGTCACTGCTTTCATTGGAATTTATAAACGAACTACTAATGACAATGCGAACAAGAAGCAAGAAATGCTATCAAAATAAAAATCCGAATAAAAAACAAATGCAAATTCATACCGTCTGAATTTTGAACGCCGTGATCTCTTTATACACGTACTCTCTATCGTATACATCTTCCGGAATTTCTGGATCGAGACCTTCGGTTGGTTTGATTCGATACGTGAAGCGAAGCTCATGTTTTATTGATGCTTTTTCGTCATTCGTTATCGACAATGGACGGCTCTTTGANTGGCACTATAGGCTGTAAATCGAGAAACGATCACAACGAAATTCTCCAAGAAATGCAAATATCTCGAATGCACTTTTCGATCAGTTTACAGCTTTAATCAAACCTTCCTCCAACAATATGACGGATGCTTCATTGAGCAAACAATCTGAATTTAACGAGCCCGAGCAAATCAAAGTGACCGAAATACAAATTTACAAAATCATGATCAGCTACACATCTTTCACATATTGTGCAACAATTCTTTGAAAGTAAACGATGAAGGGCTACCGAACGTGAAGAATGGACTCAGCTTTTCATTCCTTCAGTACATCAAATACTTTGAATTGCTTACCAAAAAAGTAAACGGAATGACCAATTTTTTTTCAAAACGATAACAGAACTGATCATTCTACTTCTTTCACAAACGAAACCAAAAACTGAACTGTTAGTTTTGGATTGAGAAGCTTCGCCGGTATTTTTGGTACTTTTTCATCATCGCCTACCACCTCGAAGAGGGTCGCTTCTTGAGGTAACATTATCCAGTTATCACCACCGGTTCGCGATATCAGCATTTCGAAGACTGCCCTACAAATTTAGATTGTACAAACACTCAGAATTAATATCACCATAAGCAGTTTTTGAAACGATTATTCTATTTTGAAAGAGTACTTGAATACAAAAGAAATAAAGCAAACTAATAAATGGCTACACTCTCCGAACGCAAGGTTGCCATAACAATCAACCTATCAAACAGTCATGCTCAGAACAAGACCAAACAAATAAATTTGCATATAAACGATGAACTACTGACTTGTCTTCGAGTAATGATGTTTTCGTTTCAACAGCCACTACGGGACGAAACTCGACAGCAAACGACCACTCTTTACCCAACCAGTTCACGCAAATCTACATATATTACCAATCTGATAGAACCTATCGGTTTGGAATCGAATCGATACATTGTCAAAAAATGGAAGCTTGAGATGCTTTCTTGGTGGATTTGAACCATGATGCGTAAACAGAGAATCCTTTTAGCTGTATGGCCAGGCCTCTAAGCTTAAAGTCGAGAATCTAAACATCCTAGGGCTGAGTGATTCACATAAAGAAATCTTCAAAAGAAAGAACTCATTTTTATTGACAGTAAATTGTAAAAATAATTCCATAAGGGATTTTATTATGATTCTGACAAACCTTCTCACTGATCATCGCCGATGTATTTTCCTTTTGCAATCCGTCGCCATCCTCTCGAACCAGATTCCTCAACGCTTTACAGATGTAGAGAGTCACGAACCGATTCGTATTCGCCTCCATCGCACCAAGTTTTAGTTCGTATTTGTGAGACCATTCCGACCGGTTTTCATCCTATTGAACAGATTTACAAAACAAATGAGCCACGCATCAAAAATCCTGTTAACTGAAGACGAATCCGAAACAAAAACATTAAAAAGAAATGTTATTCGAGTAGCAACTGTTTATTTTTCTAAATACCAAATTAAGCGCTGCTTTCACAAGACATTTTCAGCAAATGGATACTGTGAAATCACAACAGCAAAATGCAACCAACCCAAAATTCAAGATCAGGTGATTCATTTGGACATTCGATTTGTAGAACTGATGTCGATTCACTATCGATAGCCTCCGATCCAGATGAGATTTCAATGATAAATCGTTGCGTCATACCACTTAACACATACCCATCTTAATCGACAAAATAGCTCAGTTTAGAAATCATCAAAAAGAAAGAAAAAACGAAATGCACCACTCAGTTTTCATTGAACAGTAATGTATGAATCAAATTCAATCAAGAAACTGAAAAGGGAACCGAATTGATTTTCAAATGGTAGCTTGAAGATACTCCGCATTTAGAAAGGATTTTGAATTCAGAGGGTCCTGCGTTGAAAAGTTTGTTCGTTACCTCAGTAGATATGTAAGCTTACCCCAAAAAGGCAAGCTAATTCTTCTCATCCGATGATTATCCCCTAATCAGAAAGAATGAGACGACTCCGAAACAGAGATGAAATCTCACAATCAGAGATCCGAGATTCAATTCAAACGCTCCGAGGCATCTGTCAAATACCTTTAGGCGGTTTCAGCCGCACTTTCGGCTCTTTCCGATAGACGAAACAAACTGGACGTTTCGCGTTATCACTATCGATTTCTGGGATATCCATCCACGAGAAATCCATACATAACGTTTCGAATAAATCAATTTCCACATTCTCCAACATAAAAACGCCAACCTCTGAGACCTTAACGTGATAGATGATGCAAGGCACAATTTACCAATGGATTCCCAACTACATCTCGCATGTCAAATAAATTTAACAAGAAACCAAACACTCTCGAATGTTTTCAATAGCAACAAAATTGTGTTGTCTTCCTCGAAAAAATTACACAACAAATTTGCTACCCAATATCGAGCTTTTTTCCTTCATCAGAAAAGACATCTGAAGAAGGCTGCGTCAAGAACTGGAAAATATTGTCCCTCTAAATGCATATACATATTTTCATTTATGATAATCGAAAGGCACAAAAACAATTGAACCAATTCAACGCGTAAATACCTTTACAAACAGCTCGATGATGTTATCGCCTTTGAGCAATTCACGTTTCTCACCGTCCGCCCTCTCGACTTCCTCAAAACAAATGCTCTTTTGCACATCTTCCGCACCATTCATAGGTAAATGATTGTCCGGTATTGAGTCTCGATGTATTATACCGTATTCACCTTTCCAAATACATCCAAAACGATTGATGCTATCGACACGCTGCAATAAAAAAACGATGCAAATTTGAAGAACAAGTGTCCAATTCAATAAGAAATCTGAGTTTTCATTGTTCTCTTGAAACAACTCAATCAAGCTGCAATGCAGTGAACCTTTTTTTNAGAGGAATGAACATGGCTCTTCAAGACAACAAGGGAAAACAAAGGCATCAGGCACAGTAATGATGATGTCACAACCAAACTATTGATTCGGTTAGAACCATCGACTATTTGACACCAAATCTGATACAGCATAATGGGAGTTGGATGAAATGTACTGATTCGCTTTCTTTTTCTGCTTACATGACCCTGTTTGACAACGAAAAAATGAAAGAAAAAGCAATGAAATCCTGTTGGTGAGGCAAAAATTTGAAGACTTTTGCAGAAAAAGAAATGAAAGAGCAAAACAAATGACGAAAACATACATTAAATGAACACTCAAATAAAGGATTTCGTCCGGCGTTCAGTTTTTGCTGCGAACTCGCAGTTCCACTAATTGGAACCGCTTTAAAGAAGCATCTGATGTGATAACGGTCTATTGGCAATGGCAAGTTGTTCGTCACTGCAATCGTAATGCGCAAACAAGCACCGGGTGTGGCTGTTAGACGTTGAGGCAAAAGTTTGGCGTTTATTTGGACGGCACTATTTTGAGTGTTCGGGCGAATGGAACGCCTGCAAGATGCCATAGTGATTAAAGGAGAGGATTTTTTGATTAAAATGCGAACTTTTATCCTCATGTTTTTGAAAATTAAACCTGAAGCTATATGATTTCAAACATCGGAAATTGATTGGCTGAATTGAGAAATTTCCTTGAAAAATTAAACAGATATTCTTCTTCACAAGAATTCAACGTGACCCATGAAATTTGACTGCAATTCTTTTCTAAACCTACTGTTAATCAAAAATAATAAAATGTCATCAGGCAAATCCGTTTGCATTCTTACAGATGAAAATTCCAAAAAATTGCAAAAAAATATTGGTAAAGGATGCAAGAAAAAAANGACAAACCGCAATTTTGTTGGAAAATTCCGCTCTAAAACAGCAAATAAACGCTTGCAATAGTCATGACGATCGTTTTCATCAGTACATCGGATCGATAAAATTATGTAGAAGTCAACAAGGCTGGAATATTGGAAAAATATCACTCATACAAGATGCTTACCTCAAAAATATCGAAATTCATGAAACCAAAATAATTCGTATTTACCAAGTTCCAATCGATCAGTTCAACTCAAATAATGAATACTTTAAGAAAATCACTATTACGAACACTTTTCATACTTAACTAATCAGGACGTTATTTGAAGGGGATGGGAAGTGGATCAACGAACGATTTGAACAGCTATTTAGGGTAACTAACGTACTCCTTCAAATACAGATTTGGAGATGCCTCAAGATGCTCAATGACCAGTTTGAGTGTTCGTTCCAATAACACAATTGAAGCATCCTCACGAATCAGTCCCGAAACGAATTTCAACAAATACGGCAGTGCGCCTTCTATGCGATCTGATGATCTGAAAATATTGCCTCTATTGTAAAGATAACGATACTTGGACAACTCAAATTTTCATTTCGAATTGAAGGAATCGGAATTTGTCGATCATTATGAGCTCAGTTCGCTTCTCGTCCGATCACAAATCGAGATCGAAAAAGCATTTTGCAGATTTCAATCTCGTCAGAATTGGCTAATCTTCATCATCGCTCATCAGCTGATCGACATTTCTCATCTTACGAAAAGAAATTTACCCATTCAGAGAATAAAAGTAGGATAAGTTTTCATCTTTCACTTATGTGGAACAATTTTCAGTGTGCCCAGATATGCAAATGATAAGTAATCAGGGTAGGAAAGAAATTAAGGAAAGAAAAATAGAAAGAAAAAATTACTCACAACAAGAAATTAGCAAGATGCCATCCGAGTAGCTTCGACTGTCGTTTCCAGCCAAAATGCTTCAGCAACGCAATTGCACTTTCATGATATTTCTGCATGTAATGCGTGAACTGCTGTTGATCGGATAGGATTTGCCTGCAAAAATGAAAACAACATATTGATGATGACTATACACTGCCAATCGACCACCTTTGTTTTGATCGTAAACTGAAATTCGAAAAGCGCGATATCAACAACTACCTTATTTCGGTGATTGCATTCGACTGACTTGCTAATGTGCCACACAGTTGAACACCTTTCTCGAACCAATTCAATAAAGGCTTCATTATGCGATCATTTTCCAAACATCTCCCAAGTTCGGTCATCTGCAAAAAAATCACCGAATAATTTCCCAAATGATTGCTTGATGTTTGCTAGCTGCACACGAGGAAATGGAGAAGCATCGAAAAGGGAAACGGAAACAACTTCAAAAAAATAAACAACAGTAAGGACGAGATACACCAATAAAAAGATGCTTTGAATAGTCAAAAGAGAGATAATTATTTTAAATTATGAATAATACAAATAAATGTTCAAATACGAACCGCTGTGCACTTTCTGGTGGATAATGAACAAGCAAAATGCGATGCATTTTCAACATGTGCTGCTTGTGTTAGCAACGATACAAACTGCATGGTTTCTATACAATACACGACTGTCCAACATTGCAGCTGAGAACAATCCAATTCCAACTGCAAATTGTTTTTAAGGGGTTTCTCGTCATTTCTGGCAGCAAATTTTTCAGGAATTTTATAGAACAAATAACAAATGAACCAAGTGGTGATGATGCATTCACAAATAAATCTGCCTCAATAAGTTTCCCATAACCACTGCAGTGAATCCTATGAAGCGGGGAATCCGATGCGCATTCTTTCCATAGTACAAATAAAACTTTGTCTCTCTCGAATTCACGTTTTATTGAAACCAAACAACTAATGATAGGCAAAATCGTGTGATATGAATTATTCTCAAGATTGACAGATGCGCTCATTAAGCATCGCAATGAATCGCACTATGAACTAACTTCTAAAGCGGAAATTTCTTCACAAATCGATTCGACGCAATGACTGGAATATCGCAAAATGATTGCAGCAAAGTCGGATTTGAGCTGTAGCGCATTCGATGGTGCTGAATCGGAAGTCAGTTGCCGTAAGCGTTCGTCGAACAGTCGCATTGAGATCTGTATATCGATAACATTTCTCAAAATATGAACACATTCCGCGTCTATTGTTTAGGTATCCTTCTGATTTGATTAAAATGACTGATAAGGATAAGCACTCTTGTACAGCCAGAAATTTATATTTCCTTTCACGCAAGTTGTTAGTGAGGGTAGCGTGGGTATAAGTTCATGGCCTTTCCTCGTAAGAGTGTAATAAAAGATAGGTGTTGGAAAATTATTGTAATTAAATTATAAGAATCCATTTCTCTGAACGAGCCAAGTAGGTTCCTTGTGAAACAAGGATAAAAATGTTTCCTCAGATCAATTTCAGGAAATGGAACGCAAAAACTAACAACAATAACAAATACTTCTGTAATCATGGGAGTAAAAACTTACAATAATTTGATAAGCAAGAATCAATGATCTTATCTCAGCCAGTGATATCGTGCTACTGATTTGGGTTGGTTTCTGATACTGGGCCATACTAATCAACAGTGGACATCCTTCACCCAGGTACGGTTTCACGTATAACCATGATGGCTTATCACCTAGAGACACAAAAGGAAACAATAGGCTACAGTGATCAATGCATGAATCCTGTTTTCTATCTTTTTATTAGTTCAGTTCAAAATTTCACATTGTTTCTTTCTCTTGAGTTAGCAGATTAACGATGATTCGCATTTAATTAAAAACGTTGCATTAAACTGGATAATCGCCACTGATTCATTTTGAAGTCTCAAAAAACGCTGGATAAATGCTCGCGTTTTGCAATTCAACATCTCGTTGTGTTGAAAATTTCCTCTTATTCAGAACTTCATAGCACTGAACGAAAAGAATAGATATTAGATAGGTGGCATCTTTAAAAAATATGTCATGAAAAATAAATGGAAAAAAATGACGAAAACGGACTTGCTTTTGCAAAATAAGCAATAATCATTGAAAGCAACGCGTCAAGTTCATCGTATTTCGCCAAAACATGTTCCCATACCCCTAATGAACTATACAGCCGAGACAGCTCCATCTTGAATAAATCTTTCAACTTAGGATTAAAAGAGTATTTGAAGAAAGTCAATTGCAAATCCTAAAAACAACTCCTCCACAGATAATTATAAAAATAAAGCTAAACGACCAGATAAACGAATAGATGCCGAAATTTGGGATCACATGTGGACTAAATATTCCTTGATTTCTGCCTGACGTGAATCATTATAAATATTGAAACAATGCTATTTTTTTGAAAATAAAATGAGACCTGATATTCGCAATAATTGATGAAATTAAAATCAATTTTTTTGCAGTTGTCTTTCAATGCTGACAGGAAGCTTTCTTCATTCGCAACGAATGTTTCTAGTGAATTCAGTAAACTCGCTTGTAATAATGCCTGCACAGCATTCCAACACTGTGCTGAGCCTTCATATATTTCAACTATTCTAAAATGAAATGAGTATGTCATACGCATCATTTGACAGTTGAATATTTCGCGACTTCACAATCGAATTCACGAATTTATCCATTCATTCATTAACCTTCAGTTAAAACTCTACAGCTTTTATTGCAGATTACGAGATATTGAAGAATCAACTACTACAGGAGCACCAATTCGCCGGATGACTCCAAATGCTTCAAACTTGTAATCGGTGTCTTTTTTATCAAGTGAACTGCAAAAATTTCTCAACGCATTTAATGAAACTACTGCGATAATATTTAACACTTTGGAATAAATTCTCTGGAATAATCAGTTGGAAACTCTAAGAGTTTCCAAAGAAACTGGAAAGGAGGATCTAACCATCAATCTTTCATAAACAAATGAAATAGGATATTTATACCATGCGAAACTATATGTCTGAATAACTAGAAATGTTTATAGTAGACAAACAGAATCAAGACTTACGAACCGATTTGTGTGTTTAGCGAAATCACTCTTAATCCGTTCGAGCAGAGTGCCTCGATTCTTCTTTTCCCTTGCCTTTGTACTATCGAATATAATAATCCATTCGTTCGATGGATTCGGTGATAAATTTGCAAACCATTCACTTACTTCGTTACGTGATGCCGTTCGATATTCATCAACCGTCTCAAATTTTCCTTTTGCTTATTCCGGATATTGAAATACTTTTAGTCAATCAAATGGCAATGTTGAACTTATCGCAATGTTGAGCACAACAATGATAGATATGGTCTCTTACTCCAACTGAATATATTATTTACCGACTTTCTTGCAGCTGTTGGAAAAGCAATGCTAGATATCAATCCAAACAAAAAGCTCAAAGGTTCAAGTGTTTAAATTGAAATGATAGTAGTGATCGGATACTCACCGACGGTTTCATCAAAAAAAGATGTACGAATGCGTGCTGTTTCCACCTATTATGCGTATTTTTTGGTGATTCTTTGATTTGATCAAATGAGAAGTTTACAAATTGAAGATAAAACCTGACATGTAACGGGAATGGAAATTGACGTCCCTGCCTTAAAATAAAATACAATGATGATATCATGAGAAATTTTAATGTTTAAAATTTTTGAATGGTATCCTAAAATCTTCGACACATCTTTGATTNAAACACTCAGTTTAATGAAATCGGCTTATATTCCCTTGGATCTTGTTAGTGTAGAATCGGATTGTTACTGATACGTGCAATATAAAACTGCTTTTAAATATTGTGAGTGCATAATGAGTTCAATTTTGCTAGCCTTTTCCAGGTTGCAATACTGTCGTCAAAGTATGCTATCAATTTTGCTTCACAGTATTTTTTTACTTCTTCGCTTCCTTTCCCTTAAATAACACATAAATTTCATAAGATCAAAGTAAATTTCTGTGTGTTAATTTACTTTCGCATAGGATTCTATCACCCCATAAGTGATCTTCATCATTACATTTGATGTCACCGCGGATAATGTTGATCTGTACAACAGATCAAAATATTTGTAGATGAGTATAAAAGCATACACATTACCTCACTGAATCAGTGCTGCAAAAACAATTTTTCACGAGTAGACATGCTAGGTTTGCCGGATTATATGCAGTTTTAGACGATCAAAGCATTGCATTCTTAAAAGCTTACATGAGATGAGTAACCGTTCTGGAGGCGTAAGTCGAAGCACACTTGACATATCCATTCTGACAATGCAATTGACACTTCTCTGTCCCTATCTGACCAACTCTCGAATTTCAATCATGAACAATTTGATGTGCACGTTCTTAATCAGTGATTAAGACGACAATCTGTAAGAACAGATCATGATAACTCTGATGGTCATGCTGAAACGATACTATCAAATTGGTCACTCATCAGAACGAGAATAAACGGAACAACCAAAACTGAAAAAGAAAAAAAAAACAAAATTCTCAGTGACTATCAGATGCATTATAATTTTTTTCATTTGCTCCAAAGGGTCTAGGATAATTAGTCCCCTGCAAAACCGTACCCGGTTATTTGGCCCCCTACATTTCGTTCCGGTTCGATTTGAGCAATGCGTATGCGTGCTCGCTATTTTGTGCGCGTATTACAAAACCTGCACGATGACATCAGAGATGAATGAGGTTCATTCGACAGGAAGGGTTTCTCCGTAAGGGGAAGGGTTCTCCCAGTAGAAGGACAGTTCTCCGAGAGGAAAAAGGATGGATATGATTCGCACTTGCAGCAAATTTTACGTATTCTTTTCTCACAATGAGTCGATACGTCATGTTTATAGTCAGCAATGCAGAGTAGTAATTGGCGAAAAGTTGAATCGTTATGCTTTCCTTTTAGTAGAGACAGATTACGTTCATTGACAGTTTCTTCAAAGATTTTCATAATTCATGATTAATTTAAGGTTCTAATGGCGTAGTGTAAATGTCAGCCCGCAGATGTGTTTATAATGAACGCAGTCGCTCATATTGTGCTATGTAACTTCAGGTCTATTCATGCAACTTCTGTTGGGAAAAATTTGAGCTGGAACGGCATCTGGCGATCAAGTTATGTTCAGTTTGCATATTTGAGTCATAAGAAGATGGGACGTGCTGGCAAAGCAGCCAAGGGCGCTACTAGTACATCAGCAACAAAAACAACCAATGAAAAGGAGGAGTCAGCTATCGAAGCGGATAAAAATGGTCAAATTTTGTTGAGAGTTCACGCGAAACCGAACGCCAAACGGAGTCGAATCACCGAAATTGGTTCAGATTCAATTGAAGTGGCGTTGGCAGCACCGCCGCGTGACGGTCAAGCGAATGAGGCGTTGATCGATGCTATGGCTGAAATCCTCGGCTTACGCAAGGGTGATATTGCTTTGGAGACCGGGTCACGATCTCGATCAAAGCTTATCACGGTGAATTCACAGCGTATCACGTTGGACGAAGTTCGTGCCAAGTTGCAAAAGAGTGTTGATGAGCAGTAGTATTATTCTTCTGAAATTACTGACGATGAAATTATTTTCTATTATTATGATTGCGTTAAAATTTCTTCTGTAAAATTCGTGTCATTTTATTCTGAATATTCTCAAATGATTTGGTCCGTTCGGAATTTTCGTGATCATTCATTGTATTGTCCGTCCTACATTTTTCATTCTTTGAAGGTATCGGGTTGAAATGATTCTATCCATCGGGTTAAACTATTCTTCTGTCGATTATTGTTTACTATTTTTAAATCATATTTCATGTTATTGTTAAAGTGTTATTTTTGTAAGTGTGTTTTTTATTTTTAATGAATAAGGAAATAATTATTCGAGTTGCTTGAGTTTGATTAGTGTCTAACAATAAGTATAAATGCCTGTGAAATGTTGTGGCAGTGACTCTTATTTTTATACATTTATTGATTTTATCTTGTTGGTAATTGCTTATCTCAATCTGAATGTTGACGCTTATGCACATTATCGAAGTATTCCGTGCTTAGATAAATTATTTCTCAGAAACAATGAGCGAATAAACGCGAAAATCGTGATTGTTTGAAATTGAAACAATGAACTGACGAGATCAGAATTTTGGTGCAAGAGTCAAGCACATTTCAGCACAATATTTTTGACTGTTGAAAAACAAATAAGTATAGCTGTACGCTAGTTCGTTGTTACCATGTGACCTCACAATCAGCAATTGAGCTAATCTACGCTTTTATCAACGTATTGGTGTACGGTGATGGCAAGTTACATTAAGGAAACCAGTCCAGAAGAAGTGTATGACTGGATCCTGTGAAGTTTGTTCTGACTAGGGTTTGCACGGGATCCCGGGATTACGATTCTGATCCCGATCCCGGGATTTAAGTTTTGGAAAATCCCGGGATTTCGGAATTTGATAAAACAGGTCAATTTGTGTGAATTTTGATAGTATGCCCATCTTCAAGCAAGCCTTAATCATTCCCATCTAATTTATATGCACTTATCTTTGCTGTTTGCCCTCTGTTTGCCCTTTCTTTTGCAAACCATTCGTTTATCCAAAATTTGCAATGGAAGAGATTTTACAGTTCAAGTAATCTGCCGAAAATATGAAGCACGTTTAAGCTTGCTCCGATGGATGATTTGCTCCGCTATCCTTCAGTTTTTGTTTTGATTTTAGCAGAAGCAATCTTCTTATCTTAAAAACTTTTTGAACGTTTCATAAATCGCCGTGTATAACATTTGCAGTCGCTATACAATCGATATTGGATGTACAAGAAATACTTTTTTGATTGAATTGTTTACAGATTTCGTCTTGATTTTTAGAAGTATCATTTCGTTTTGTACTGAACCAAGTGCGATTATCTGAAGAAATGAGTGATCAACGTTCGGCTCAGGGGGATGTCAATGCCATGTTCCACTCAATCGTTGAAGAACTAGAAAAGGATCGCGTATTGCGGGAGGTTTATTTCTTAAAATACCTATTACTTATTATGAGATTTTAAGTTATGAATATGAATCGTTCCATTGTCCCCACATAATGTCTATCACGCTTTTTTCTTCAGTGAGTAGTTACCGTTGTATCATGGCTAACTATATTGCTGAATTGAATTCCAGTTCTATTGTCGCGACTAGCGCGAAAAGCTAGCATAGAATGATAATAGTACTAAAAGAGATAGTACTTGAATCAAATATGAAACATCGTGCAATGGGCCGATAATGTACGGGTGTGCACGCTGGGCTTTGAGNAAAGGGCTTAGTTTCAACATCTATTGCTGAATTCAAATTCTTTTGCCCGAATTCTAGCAACCAATCTGAGAGAAGTATGAATGCGTTCTTTCATTATTAGATAGGCATTTTTAATGGAGGAAAAGAAAATTGTGGTACTTAAAGGCATTGTACGATACAGCGCGTGAATTGGAGAATATAAATCGTGAAATGCTGACAATTCTGCAGAATACGCATTCAACGCCTGACAAACCAGGTGAAGTCTTCGTTGAGTGAATTTATTAGTGATCATATTAATGTTATCCTGTGTTAGTTATCACGTGCGTTCATTGTACGCAAAGCAATACCATGTTCAGTGAGTGCGTTCCCAATAAAACGGTTGTAGCAATGTGATGGGCTCAATGTCATTTCCCTGATATTATGATAAGAATGAGCCAGATCCTTTCATAGGGGGGTTAGTAACCGGTTCATTTGAAAATTTTATGTAACAGTTTATGCTAAAAACTTTTTTTTCTGTCGAAGATGTGCGAAATTTTGAGGGTATACTGGAAATGGATTTGTAGCCTCATNTGATTCTTTTATCGTCATTTTCTCATTCGACGGAATTCCTGCCTATTCTTGCATTGAGAACTCGTATTCAGAAGTTCGACGTTATGAAAAAGTCGAATTAATTGAACTTTTAATTTGAGCAAACCATAGATCAAAAGACGCCATAAGTAGAAATTGATCTGTACAGGTTCCATGAGATATATCGCTCTGCAATTCAACGCCTTTCATTTGTTCTTCTGTTTGCGGGTTTTTTGGACAAAGGTGAACTCATGGATCGTAGGAGCGTGGCGCAAACACTTGGATGTTAGCAGTATTTTCGTTCCTAAATTTTCATAAATCAACGTCCGTTTTTATCATCAAATGATTACATTGTCCGTGTATTTGATGGAATTCTTAAATCAGTCAATTACTTATCGATTCATTTCAATGAAAGCAATATGACAATGCTCATTTCGAATCTCTTCTCCCTTTATCTGTTCAATTTTTAAATATTGTACAATGTCTCAATCAATACTTTGCACGGGAAGGGAGCAATATTTTGGGGTGAATCAAAAATACAAGCATTGTAGAACGAGTATTTTAGTGAAGGTAGATCCAAATGAAGGATTCCACTTGGAGCTTGAAGATTATTTGTTTGGAGTGCTGAATCTGGCTAGTGAATTGGCACGTTATGCAGTCAATGCAGTCGTAAAAGGCGATAATGCTCGTCCGTTCCAGGTTCGCTTTTCCATTGAAACTACATCGTCTTTTCTAGCAACGCGTTTTTTTTCAAAATGATAAATATGGGTTATCCAATCGCTGTTCATTACCATAATTTTGAATGAAAAATTTCCAGAAAAAAAANAAAAAAAACAATGTTTCGGGAAAGAGCAGATGTTCATTCTTGCAGCTTTTATGATTGTGTATGAAGTTTCAAATGAAACCAATCCGAATTCTCTGACTCTTACCCTCCGATCCACAGTTTTTGACTCGTTGTACAGCTTTGAACAAAACTCCCGCTCACAAATGGGATTGGGCTATGGATCAGTTGTTCATTATAAACAGCGTTTCAGATAGCGGCATTCGTGAAGAATGTTGACGAAATGTTCCGTTTGTTGAACTTGAAGAATGATGCCTTAAGACGACGTTTCGACGTTCTCAAATATGATGTGCAAAAATGCGAGCAAGTGGTTTATGACCTAGCGATTCGCGGACTCAAGCCGACTGTCGAGACCTCTGAGTATGCACCGACGCAACAGTCATCTCAACCGATTGGTAGCGTCGAACAACGGCCTAAAGGATTCATTAAAGCCGAAAAAGATATTCAAAGTGGCGATTGATTCCTGATATTAATTCAGATTAATTCTGATCACCAAGTCCGTTCATTTTTATCTACAAACGTATTGAATTTATCGCTCCAAATTGTAGTCCATCATTGTGTCACATGAATATGCTGTGGGCCCTATATATCAAATTGCCAACCTTGTTATTGTTTTGTGGCAAAATTTCATAATTTCGGGTTTTAAATTTTAAAGACTCCCATAATAAAGCTGATGAAAAAGTTGAAAGCATTGGAAGATTAAGAAATATGCAATAATGTTTTAAATGAGTTTTGTTACTCATGAAAGTACCTTCACCTCCAGATGTCATGTAGGAAAATTTTGAATTTCACTTCTTGCGGTTGAGTCCAAAAGCCTTTGCTCCTTTCAATTTGTATTTGTTGGAATCTGAACGAAGTCTGCTGTTGATAGTTTAACGGGCGAAAAAACCAAAAGAATGGCAATAATTCAGAGTCTCTGTTTGATCTTAAGAATTTGTGAAGAGATAAAGTTATGGTTGGGAAATTACACAATTTTATAATAACTTTCTTCCTCGACACTGTCATGTTCTTATGCCGTTTTTACACCACATCATGCAAAATACATTCCTTGGATTCATTTTGTCAGTTTTAATCACATATCTAATATAAATGTTACGCAGCGAATTGTTTGATCTTATTTCAAATCCACAATTAAAAATCTGATTGATATTTTATCTAATTGATGCTCTTGAAAAATGTGGCAAACCAGATCAAAGTTGGCGTTTACATGTTTCCCATGAGCGTGGAAGGGTCTTGCCAATCTGACGGATATTCAAAATGATTAAAAACCACAACTGTTAAAAAGTACATTCCAGCCCTCTCCCATGCTAAGGGAGCGCTCTACCCCTGA